TAGATGCAATTTCCTAGTAACATAGGTAATTAAACACTGGAAGAGCTACCTGGGTTAAGTGGCTGGCTCATTATCACTTGAAGTCTTTACATCAGTATTTCTTTCCAGGAGACGTATATAAATCCAACCTCTGGGAGAAATTCTGCTGGCGGTGCACATATGTTCTCTGCTTCCCCTGCTAGCACACAGGCAGTATGGAAGAGAAAGAGACTTGGATCCCAACCAGAAAACAGAGGTCAGAAGAGCTGGATCGGGGCAGCAGAAGGAGTAGTTTGTGGGTGGGAGACTGAGACAGGCTAGGCAAGCCTGGGACCAAGCCTCAAAGAGGGATGCAGAACAGTGGAGGCAGGGAGTCAAGAATTTATCAGAGGTCTCGTAGAGGGAACTGGAGTAATAAGAAGCTGTGAAGAGCAATGAAAAGTGGCAGAGATGGGCTGGAAGGGACAAGGAAATAAGGGAAGCTTAATTAAAGTTGCATGCACAACTTTGATTGATTCTGGCACATCTTAGTTTGATTGCTTGACTCTGCAACCTTCATGTTTCTTTAACATGCTTTTCTACCTGTAGGGCTATGAAGTAGCCCTCTTTCCTTCCGAGCTGCTTAGAAGAGGCTGCAACCAAAAGGCCCAAGGCTGCTTTTGTTTGTGAGGCTCTAGAAATCCCCCTAGACTGACAGCGCTGCTGTGCTTCCATGCACAAGGACAGGGAGTAAGACTGACCAACTCTGAGAGCAATTTTCACCCACTGCTCATGGTTGTATTTCTCTTCTCTCGTGTCTCTGGTCTCTTCTGTGCCAGAAGCTTCCCACCTTCCCTTGATTAGTGCCGCAAGGAATTAATTGCACTTGGATGAGTATTGACCCTTGGTCTGGAGGTAAAGTAAAAGGTGAGCTCCAAAGCGGCGGCAGACTATCTGGTTTGTGGACTATTTAAGTTTTGCCAGTACACAATGCAATACCAGATGGGAAGAAGTCATTGCTCCTTTGCAGAGCTCCTTGCTCAGACTGCACGCTGCGATGATGGTTCCTGTGTATAGTGAAGTTAACTCCAAAGTAACTCTACAGGTATCGACAAAACCTCACGTTGGCATCACCGTGAAGATTGTTGTTTTTGTTTGAGAACTTTTTTATTTCTCAGCTCCGTTAGGAGATGCCCATCCCAACCTTTTATAAAACGACTTTACTCCTATTTAATGTAAGATTAATATCCCTAATTAATAGTAAAGTCCCATTGTCCTTAGCTGTCCCCAGACATACAAACAGCATCTGCATTATACGAATGCCATTAATGACCGTGCATATGCAATCACCTGTATGTCCAAAATGGGCAGTATTTCTTTTCTGCCATCGATATCCCCCTTTCCAAGAAAGTAAATTATGTTTCCAGGAAAGCAACTGGAACAGATCCAAAGCACATTAGGCTTTTAAAAAATTTCCAGAATGCTGCCGTTACAAGGTAAGACAAACTTTCTGTTTTGCTCGATCTTCCGTGAGTGCAAAAAGCCCTTTTCCTCCCCCCAAAAATGTAACATCTTACGTTGGGGAGAGGGACAAAATAATGAATTCCATTTTAATTATTATTTTAATAAATTCCCTTAATACTCCCCTTTTGTTCGAAATTAGAGTAACATGCACTGATATTACTATCCAGCATGCTGTTTCTATACAAATCTCTCCTCCTCTCCACAGAACAATGATATGTGATTGTTTTTAATTAGCGCTGTTTGCAAAGTGGTATCGGACAAAAAGTATGAGAGAAAAACCTAAAGATTTATAACGATGTCCTTCTTCAGCTGGATGATTAATCCAGTCTATAAAATGCTCTGTAAGTCTGAGATTGCCATAGAAAAGCCATTTTTCAGTAATTACCAGGAAGTTCTCAATGTGGCTCAGATTATTTTTTTTCTGGATTTTTTTTTTAACTACTCCCTTGTCTGTTTTTGTAATCCATGATAAATACCTTCTGTAATGCAAAATTGCAGAAGATTGAGCTGAAGAATTGTGATGTAAGGGTAGTTGGACTCCTACAGAATAATCAAGACTTGCCTTTTGGGGGGGGTGGGGGGGAGGGGATGGTTGTATATATTGTTGGTTGAATAGGTCTAATTCTATTATGCATGGTGTTGTACAATTTCCCTTTGACAGAGGGGAAGGTAGCACGGGATACAACCATTTAGTCTCAGAAGCAATAGTTAATGAGTAAATATCTATGTATAATTAAGATGGACTCTTTTAGTACTGCAATATATATAATTACTTATGAGTTAATAATGGGGTTGCCCTGATACGAAAGAGCAAAGCTGAGTCCAAAATATATCTCGTATGTTAAATAGTTCCTTTGCTTTTATAGATATTTATTTTTTCTAACTTTTCTAATTATATTAACTTTTAGAGCAATCATTTAGAGCTGATTCTACTGCAGAGTATGGGTAAATGATGAGGAGAGTAAAATAGGGCAGGAAAAAGGTCATAATGTAGGAGTGAGGCCAATGCAGTATGCGCCTTACCTACACAGGGAAGCATGGCTCTGTGTGCCTTTCCAGAGCTAGCGGAGACGGTGATAGTTGACACTCAGAGTATTACCAACTTTCACTTTGTAGCGTCTCCTCTCTTTGGAAGGAGTTAGGTACAAATACATTAACGGTGGCTAATGAATCATGGGGTCAAATTGGTTGTGAGGAACCGGACAGACTCGCAGTGGAGTAGGCACCAGGTTCTTCTGACCTCCTGCAGTAGTCACTTGGAGCAGTGCCTGATCTGCACCTCTTATGGGTGTCCCGCTGGAGACCTCAAAATTGCTGGATATCCCTGAAAATTTGAGGTCTCGCTGGCTTGTCTACATATCAGGTGGTAAATTTAGAGTCGAATCGATGAGTCCCTCTCATGCAGCTTAATCCTACATATTTGTACGTGCCGCCAAGCCCATGTGTTCAAGGGGGTCACTAAGGGGCAGTAAGGCTGAAAGGGCTCTGACTGAGAAGCCGCTGACTACCCAAGTCAGAATACAACAAACATAATGACGTACCAATATCACGTGAGAGATGGACAGGTGCATGTATTAATAGACTATTAAGAGCTCACAGATGTTTTCCCTTTTTCAAGGTTTTTTTTTTGTCTTTTAACTTTAAAAAAAGAAACCTCTCTCAAAGAATAATAATATGAGTAATGGAGCAACACATTATAATTGTTGCATCTAGCAAACAGTTTGTCCTGTTAAAACTGTGGCATTGAGATGCTTAATTGCTGTTGTTGAATAGACTGGTTGGGTGAACATCTGTTGCTTTTTAATGTTATAAAGAAGTTATACTTTGGAAAGCAGCCATTGTTGGTCGACCCGTTATTTGTATTGTGCTGAGCTGTAAAGACATCTTGCTTTAAAAGGCCCGCTGGGGGTGTCACTGAGCATCTGCACATGGTAACATTTGTGCCCAGACCCAAAGTTGTAAACAAGAACTGTTTTTTTTTATTTTTGCCTGTTCCACTTGTGGCTCTCTGAGTTGTCGTCTTTTTGGCCTGTTAATTTGCAGCAGTGCACTTCAGTTCTTCATTACTGTAAATAACACACAAATGGGTGTCTCGAGAGCAGACCCAGAGTCTGCTAGAGGAAAGCTGCCATACATTGCGAGCTCAGGTTTCAAAACCCCAGTCTTGACGTTTCTGCAGGCTTACGCCTGACAGCTCTGCTCCAGCGTGATTCAGAGTTTCCGGGGTGAGGGGAACTGATCTCTGAGAATGAAGTCCCAAATTGTTCGCTTTGTACTTGACTGTTTCTGGCATCATACAAAGAGATAATGAGGCCAGACTCTCCACCGACGCTTGTCATCCTGTACTGCTGTGCAAAGTTAATATAAACTATTACTGACCAAGAATTCTGCATTTACACAGGCAGGTGGTAGCATTGTATGCAGATACAGTTGACTAACCTTGGTAAAAGGGGGTAGAAAAAGTCCGGTCTGCTTTACTAAGGCATAACTAAGCTTGCCTGAATAATGATGGCTACTTCAAGAAGTTATTTTTCCACTAATAAAACTCCCCAACGTCTGAACAATTTTGCATTTGCTGGTGATGAGGGATTGTTTGGCTCCGATCCTTGATGCTCATCCTCATAATCAAATTCTTTGTTTCACATAAAAATGTGATAACCGAAAGGTGACAAGTAGAAGACTCTGTTCTAACAAAGGGTGTGGATGGACATAACAGTTAGACTGGTATACCTATTACATCTGCCCGTTCCTATATTAGTATAAGTAGAGCAAAAATGGATCAAAGTCATAGTGGTTTAGCTCACTATATAAGTGGACAGACATAAGTGTTACACTGGAACAGCTGATGCTCATTCCTGACCAAAAGCCCTGCACCTCTTTTATAGCATCTTCAAATTTAAAACAGTTTAAATGTATCTGCTGCCTAGAAATCCATTGGTAAGTTCATTTTAATTGACAGAGTTGGGGTGGAGTAAAACCAGCACAGGTCAGATAAAAATCAGACCCAGTGCCCTTATAAAATGCCTGCTGCTTTGGTCCTGATCTGTCATTCACTCTGACTTCTGTGGAGCATACATCTCCTCTCTCAGCTGTCTACTGAAATCAGTGGAGATGATGGCATCGTATAGAGGTTGCCTATATACTATGGCTTCAAGCCTAACAGAGTTTGGAGCCCCTCTCAAAAAATGTTGTCTCAGCTTCCTTGATTTTTTTTTTTTTTTTTTTTTTTGATGATGGAAAAAACAGTTCTTCTCTTGGGAAGTACTCGGGAAGACCACAACAGGTCAAAATGTTTTGACACTTTGGACTCTTGGTTGAAATCTCTGGGTTTATCTGGTGAATCATGTATAGGTATCTGCACACCTAATGGTGCTGATCTTGTGTGGCCCCCAGGTGATAATCACTGATGTAGTCATTGCTGCTTATTGTTAGCAAGGGTGGCAAAACAGTGTCCTCTGTTTATTCCTCTGCTGTTGTCTGGTCTCTGATCTCCAGCTCTCCCCTTCTTTCCAAAACAGATCTTGACAACTTAAAAACTAAAATGAGGAGCACAGTGTCTGTTCGAGAAGGGCAGGGAGTGGTGCTGCTTTGTGGGACGCCGCCTCATTCTGGAGGTAAGAAACGTTTCGGGCTCAGTCGCTTGCTCTGTGGCTGCTAACGTGAACGGATGCCAGGCTGTAGCTCGTACGCCGAAGCGAGCAGCATGGTGGGATCTCGGGACACTTCTGCCCTGCCTGAGGAGCACCCCACGTGCAACCCACTTCACATGCTTTGCCCTTCGAAGGAGGTGCAGCGGATCTGCCTTTGGGTGGCACTAGGCATGCGTCCGCTTATGTTGCTATCTCAGGAAAACTTCTTGGTCTGCATCCCTTGCCACAATGAGACAACTAATTTATATCCATTTCAGTGACTAGCACACGCACAGCCCATATGACCTGTCCCAGGGCAGCGATCTCTGGGGTGGTCCTCAGGCTGGGTGCACACCCCCTTAAAGGACCCAGCCAGAGTCCTATCATAAGAAGATCTATTCACCAAAATGCAGAGGCCCATGTCCTCCACATCAGTACTCTGCATGCTAGTGATTTCGCAAGCAGTGGTTATCAAATTAGTGCCTTTCTCACTCGAGCAACGATCATCCAGTTCCTTCTCATTCCTTACCATTGAGGACCCCTTGGGCTCTCTTGCTCCTAGTACCAAAATGGCAGGAGCTGGCCCCGTTTATTCTCTGCCAACATACAGAGCACAGCACAAAACTGCAAAAGCAAGTAGTATTTCTCACTGGGTCTAGTATTTTCCACATGTTCAGTGCAAACATATGTCAATCAGAGTTGCTTGGATGGGGCCGAGCATGAGGATCAGGTTTAGCCTGACATGAAATCAATAAATAAAACGGTGCAGTGTCTCTCCCACTTGTGTTCAGTAATTGCAGCCCATCATGCAATCAACACTTACTACGTTGATTGGCAGATGACACCTAACTCAGAAAAAGCAAAATGTACACTCTCCTTGCAACAAAGTCCATAATCTTTTTTCCATTCAGCTTTTTGTTTAACTTCTTTTTTCTTCTCTGAGCTCTCTTTTAAAAACCAGATGGGCAAGTCGGGTGCCTTTCAGTGATGTTCTTTGTGATGAGGACACTCGGTAGCAGGTTAGCATCAGGGTTGGGTGAATTATTTTCAGCCAGTTATATCAATCTGAAACTTTGTTCACAAATGTGAGTTGGATTTGCAAGCCGAGTTCACAAGGGGACTCAAAGTATCATTCCCAAAAGCAGCAAGGACAAAAGGATGGTGGCAGCCACTCTTTTAAATTCCCAGTCTGGGATATGGGGGACCAGGTTCATATCCCCCTTCTGTCTGATTCAGTATGGGGAGTTGAACTGAAGTCTCCTATCTCCAGGGGAGCACTGTAATCGCAAGGCTATACAATAATTGTCTTCTCTAGGGCCCAGTGCCTCACCAGTTATACAAACTGGAATGAGTTTCAGGGTAGAGACACAACCCCAGATTAACCTACAACTTGGTTTGTTTTGCTTTGAAACGCAACATGCATTTTTTCATTGGCCAAAACTTCCAAAACATCTTGCTTTCAGGTTGGCACAGAGCACTATTTTTTTTTCTGATTATTTTTTCTAGGTCTGCCATTGACCTGAAAAATCTATTATTCACATAGTCCTAGATTGCAGCCTTTCTTACGAGCTTTATGAGAGGCAAAATTCCCCAACCAGCTGAAACTCTGAACTTTTAGTTCAAATACACATCCGTTTGTGGACACTGCTGTCCTGTGAAAGACTTGCTTGCCTTTTAAATAAAGATCAGTTCCTTGCAAAGATTTAAAAGGGTCATGGTGACAAGAACCAAGTAAGCTGTTGGTTTTTTTTACCTGGCTGATTTCCAGCCAGATCTGAAGGCCATTAAAACTTCAGTACTATTAAGAGGTAGATGGGTATGTTGTGAAATGAATTAAAATTCCAGTTTCTGAGTCATCCCATGTTGGATCTTCAAAGGGTAGGTTCCATATTGTTTGACTCCCCTTTGAATAAAGTGAGAAAAGATTACATTTGTGAAGCAGAGGTCTTGAAAAGAGAAATCAGGTGAAGCTGAGCATCCATGAGTGTGTGTGTGTAAAAAAGAGGGACACACAAAGATAGTGGGATTTCCCTGGATTTTGAAGTATGTGCCTATCTCCAGTTTAATTCCTGGAGTTCAATGGCTCCCGTTTCACAGTAATTTTATTATTGTTTGATAACCTTTGGAGTCAAATGCTTCCTTTGTCTATGAGTGAGCCTTGCTGAAACTCATTTAGTTGCATAGCTGTATCTACTGGGAAAAGCATTTTTGTTCCTCCGCGTTACTAGGATGTGCCTATTTTCACGATGGAAGAATTAATAACTGTCTCTGTGTAGTGAAGAGCAACTATTAAGCAGCAAAACTCATGGAAGCTAAAACGCAAATATTTGGATGAACCTAGCAGGCAGATACACAGGAGTGAAGTTGAGAGTTGTTGGGTTTGGTTTTTTTTTCCTCTGGGGTGAAGAGCTGTGAGTGCATTTGATAATTCATTCTGTATTCTGAAATGTCTTTGACTAATTGGCTTCGGGCCTTAAATAGCATTCTGAAAGATGTAGGTTTGTTTGCTTGTTTGTCTTAATTATTATTATACAGTCATATTTCCAAAGTACTGCTATGTTAAACATGGATGTCATTGCAAAGAGATTGGGAAAAAGTTTGATGTTGGGGTTGTAGTGATGTGGCTTTTGTGACCTCTTCAGCTTAGCAGAACTAAGCAGCTACAATCTGAAAGGGGCCATTTTACAGCCGGCTGAGCTTTCTGATTTTTTTTTTCCCCCCTCTTCCAGTTGATATGTATTCCTAATTCAAGTTTCTGTGTCCTCCCCCCCACCCCACTCCCTCCCCCCTATCTTCATTATTGCTAAGGAGATAGGTCATCCCCCTAGTTATCTATAGGAACAGATTGATGAAAATCCACTGCTGTGGCTAAATTAGCGTCCGTGCTACCAATGTCATCCTTCCGTATGCGTATGTGCATGCATGTTGGCTTTCACAGCATTGTGGTAATTCAAAAATGTGCAAGTCTGAGGTGTCAAGCAGAAGGTGATATACAAGCCAAAATGGTTGTGCTAGAAATTGCTGTCCAAACCAGCACGTGGAAAAGGTGAGAATTTTTGTCATCCTCCACAGATGGGACGTGGCTTACACCCACACTATAAACATGTTATTCAGCCAAATGCAAGAAAAGAGGCAGCTGTAGTGTCAACTAGTTACTGCAGTGTGATTGGGAGCTGTGACCGAAATTAATTGAGGAGTCGCAGGCTTGTTGACTAAAGCGGTTGTTAGTTATGAGAAGATAGCGCAGCAGTTGTATCTCTCGTTTTCCTCCATCAGTAAAAGAAAAGAGGTGGCATGGTAAAGTACCATGGAAAGTGCTGTAAATCAGTGTTGCTCAACCTCTCCCGCCCCATGGGCTGGAGGACTGGCACCAGGTTGGTTTGCTGGCCAGGCACCCTGCATGGGGTCAGTTTGCAGGTCAGCGTGACAACGAACTGGTGAAATCTGGCATGCAGGGCCATGCCATCCTGACTGTGTGTTTCCCCATGAGTCCAGAAATTTGGTGGCCAGGGAGCCATGGCAATATTAATTGCAATGATTCTGGGACCAGATAATGCTGCTGCTGTTTCCCCCACCACCACCACCACATTTCCAGACCTGTGGGGAGCCCCAGAGGCTGGATGACATGGCTTAGAGGGCCAGTTGTAGAGCACTACTGATTTGGATGACACAGGTCAGGATACCTTAGCACTAATTAGGTAGATATCACTCCTGAGAGCATTTTTACATTGAACAATGCTGTGCTCTGCAAAAAGCTCCCTCAGCCAGCTCTGAATTAATGAGGTAGCACAGGAAACAGGAGCAGGATGGCTGCATTTCATGGTACTCCACTAAAGATCAACCCAGCCCTCTTGGTCAAAAGTTGAACTCAGCTAGCATTTTGTTGCATTGGCCTGTGAGATAAGCAGCCACGCTATATCCACAGCTGGTTCTAGTAATCTTTACCAAATATTGTGTAGTAATCATTTGGGGTTGTTTTGGGTTTTTTTACCCATCGCTGGAACTGCTAGTAGTTGAATACACAACGATGTTAAGCCAAGATGGTCATTGAGATGAAGGGCAAAACATTGTCCCTGGGCTTGATGTGCTATTGTCACTTTGAATAGGGCAGTGTAGAGACTGTGGCTCTAGTGGAGCCCAGCCCCTGCACAGCCCAACTGAAGCAGGCAGGAGGAGCTCTGAAGGTTGCCCCATCCCTGGGACAGTGGGAAAAGCAGCCACAGTAGCAGAGGACAGGGGTTAGGCAAGGAAAGTGGATGTGCCTCTGAGCATGTCTGCTAGAGGATGGGTTAGGGAAGGGAGGGGAGAAGGGTTTCTTACCTGCTTTGGGTTTAAAGTCCCTCAAGGCTCCAGCAGCATGGTCCAGTCTGAAAAGGGGACACATCCACACCCCCAATGCAACATTGACTTCCATGATTGGAAAACAAATTCATCCTAGAAGATGCTGTAGTCCATGGTTTGGTAAATATATCAGATCACCTTCTGCCTCGCATCTCTCAGATTTCAGAAAAACAACGCATCTGACTCTGCAAAAGTGCGCACACAATTTGAGCGCTGCGAATAGGCCCTGAAAAGTCTTTAGAATTAGTCATATGTTCAGAGTTACGTAGGTGCTTTAGTATTTTCAGACTCAGCTCGACTATGGGTTGATCTGCTGTGGAAGTCAGTAGCAAGCATTCATTTGACTGCCGAGAGAGCAGAAGGGAGCCGCTGTTCTGGTGGATGTTGGTGCTTGAGCATGCACTTTCAGAATACTCCTAACTTACTGCTTGTGCAACCTTTCTATGTGCCTGTACCTAGGGTACAACCTGAGCTAGATCATGAACTGCTAGCACAGGGGTGGGCAATTCTTTGGGCTGGAGGGCCACGTAAGGAGTTTTGGTGAGCTGTTACAGGACAGGCGAGGAAGGGGGCGCTGACCCAGCCGAGCAGATTGGATGAGGCTGCAGGTGAGCGAGGAGCAGCATCCAGGAGCAGGACGGGCA